AGTGCGTGGAGGTGGACGTGAGGTCATCACCATCTATTCCTGAAAGGCTTTTAATATGGCCGCCTATATGGACTCTGCCCTCTCCTGCCTCCCTATCATTCCAGGAAAATACCCGCATAACCGTCCAGTCACCTGCCACCACATGTTGTGCTCAGACTTCAGTGTTTACAGGTGACATCTAATAGACCTAGCTGTATCTGTTACATTCTAACCAGCAGGATACACCAAGAATTATGCAACAGTTATACTTTCTGTTCCCAGCTTGTCAGCTGATAACAGCAGATGAGGTTGTGGTTAGTTTTGACAGCTGAATTGAAAAACAAGACTTGACTCCAAAAACTGAATTTATCCACAGAAAACTGCCGCAACAATAGATAGTAAAGCTGAGTAACAATCGATGATACAAATGTGGAGCAATAAACTAAATTAAGAATACAGGGTTAATAAGAGAAGAATTGGAAAAAAAGAAAATGGAGGGCAGTCGAACATTTCTTTCCCCGTCTTATATGTTTAATCATCATTCTGTCCTTTTGCTTTGTTGCTGGTTATTTGTAAAAGAGGAATGTTTTTTCTTTACCATTTTTCTTATTTTCTATTATTTATTATAGATGTTATTTATGTATTTGTTCATCTAATCCTGTCTGTCTTTGTCCTGGTCTGTTTTTTGCATTAAATCATATGGTTGGAAGCACACAAGTAATAATATTAGAGCACTAGTAATGTCTTTAATTCATATTGGAAAAAGCTTAGATGAGGATCTTCTTATGGTCATGCAAAACATTCACATGAATTAACTGTAGAATTAAAAATGCAGAGGTGGGAGCTGTGTGTCAATATGTCCATACATTTTCGAAACAGACAAAACCCAATTGGATAAAATAGATTTGCCACTATTTTGCATTTATCGTCCTTGTTGTTATGGCAGGGATTTATCTGTTTATAAATTAAATTTGAAATTTAAACACATTTTAGACCAGACATCTCTCCACTTGTACGATGTAATGTAAATTATTCAGGAGAAAGTTAATAGACCTTAGGATTTTATTTATGTTATGGTTGTAAAAAGATATTATACAATATGAACCAGTGTAAGATGTTTATAGGTGTTAGAGGCACTAAAATATATTGTGTTTTACGTCAGCTGTACGTCATAAATTTTATCGCAGATAATTAATTTTTCTTATGGTATGGTTCAGATAAAAAGGTGTACAAATGTCATTTATTTAAATAATTTAAAAATGCTGTAATTAATGCATGGTAAGTGCACAGTATTACAGAAATAATTTGACATTTTGGGAAATGCACTTTCTTACTGAGAGTTAAATGAAAAGATACGCTCATGTTCACATGCTATATATGTAGCTGTAGCTAGGAGACGGCTAGCTTAGCTTAGTGTGGTGGATTTTCTTCTGAAACACTGGACACAAACACAGAAATGAAATCACTGATCAACCCAAAGATTAATTTTTAAAAGAATATTATTGATTATTATTATTGATCAATAAGGGGACAAGGCTCACACAAAGCTGGCAAGTATAAACATTCCTTCTCCCAACAACCCAAGTCAAACCAACCTTTTTATAGAACAAGAACAAGGGGCAAACAAATGAACAGGGTACATAAAGACTTAAACCACATGTAGCCCTTTGGCCTACATAAACAAGATGAGAACAGTGGGTTTGTTTAACATATCACAAGAGCACATTCACCTCTCATAATACATATCACAAGAGAAACTGAGTGAGTGGTCAACTAATGAATTTACTTAACCATATTTTGGTATTAACAATGATAACCCAACCATCTAACCTTCTATTACTTTCACATTTGCATAAAGACTGCAATCAGGGGGAAACAGTTAGTCTGGCTCTTTTTAAAGGTAAAGAAAATCCACCTATCTGCTTCTGGCTGTAGCTTCATGATTATCCTGCAGACATGAGAGTGATATCAGTTATAGGCGAGTAAGCGAATCAGCGTACCTGCCAATTGTTGAATTATTCATGTTCAATGTTCATTATTTCCATTTGCTGCTACACTAATGTACATTTTAAAATGTGATGGAATTCGTTTTGATGTTGACGGACATATGTGGAAAATACAGGCACAGACTAATAACTACAAAGAATTTTAGAGGAATCGTAAGGTGCATATTAAAGGTCCTATATTTTACATTTTGGCAGTGACTGTATAGTTGTGACATCACAAAATTACGGAAGTCAACTCAAAGCTTGCTTTTATGCACACTTTCTGAATACGGGCTGTGTGTGTTTCTTTGTGGATTGAGCATTTTGATAGTTTCACGCTATTTATACAGCACCTAGACCTTCTTTATTATCAAAACAGACATCGAAATCTTTCTACAATATGTGACCTTTAAGCTGTTTTCGCATGGTGAATGCATCAAGTCAGATTAACCTGTAGAGTACCTCTCTGTTATTTGTTTTTGTGTGTGTGAGTGTGTGTGTGTGTGTATACAATGGATGTTTAGTTTCTATTTGTGTATGGTTTAGTAATTTTCGAACTTACATTAATTCATGCACACTTGCTGTTTTGTCATAGACATTCACGTTCTTCAAAATCAACTGATTCTGTAGACATTTTGTAGGCGTAAGAGTCGGGTCACGGTACATTATCAAACAAAGCATTTAGTTTTGTCATGATGGAAGTTTTAATCCAAACATGTAATTATACAGTCATATGATTGTATTTCCCTCTTCTCCTTGGCCTATTAGTGCAATAAAGTTTTTTTTTTTTTTTTTTAGGAAATTCTGAATCAATTTCTAGCAAAAAGAAAATCATTAGCCTTCAGTATCTTTTCCAGGAAATCATAAGACTTCTAATACTATGTTTCCTGTTGATTTACATGTAGTGTTTTTAATGCTTGACTTGACCTATCCTGACCTCATCATACATACATCAATAGGTCTTCTTTTTGGTAAATATATGTACAGCCCTCAGTGTTTCCCTCACAATTCTGAAACGTGCAGGTGGATTACATCAGCAATTTCTAAATCTGAATAGTTCTGCATTTACTCTTAATTCTTACGACAATGGTGTACATCTGCAGGTACATCCAGTGCATTTAGAAAGTGTTCAGACCGTTTTTCACATTTTATTATGTTGCAGCCTTATGCGAAAATTAAAAAAAAAAAAAAGTATTTTCCTTCATCAATCTAGACTCAATACTGTATAATGACGAAGTGAAAACTGAATTTTAGAAATTTTGCAAATTTATTAAAAGGGGAAAACAAATATCACATTAACGTAATGCACTGTATATCAGTCATTGGTCTGCAGAAGTTTAGTCACAATTCTTAAACTCCCTCAACCAGAGTGTATGTGTAAAAGTTATGATTACATGCCCTTATGCTGTGCATGTATGTGTGTGTGTGAACCTGACATGGGCACACTTGTTTAAGTGAGGACATTGTGTGCAGTTAAACATGGTTATCAAGTGAAGATGGGGCATTTGTAAATAGATCTGTGATTTTAGGCTTAGAGATAACGTGTAATATGTGTGTCGATACAGCTTTTATAGATATAAAATAGGCCGTTTGTATTGTCTTTTAAATGGTAATGGTTTTATGTTCTACCATGTCTTATGCAATTATGTACGAGTAATGGTTTAAAGAAACCATTTTATGTCGGCACAAAATGCAATAAATTAAAATAATTTTAATACAACAGTAACAGTTCAAGCATCTGTGTGTCATCTTTTCTTAGTGTCTGCTAACAGGTTAACTGGTAACTAGTTTCCAGCTAATTTCTTAAAAGAAAAAGTGCCAATATTTACCTAAAAATTAGTTGGATATTTCCAATAAAGACCTATGCAAGTTGGTATTCTGCTCTGCTTCAAGTTTTAAGAAAAAAACAGGAATGATGTAGTATTGTATACTGAAAGTGGATAGAATATAAGCTTTAAGAAGATCAGACATGTATGAAGGGGCAAGCCCATTGAGCATTTTCAAAATCCTCAAAAGCACTTTAACTGACATGGATGGGGAGCCAATGAAAAGAAGCTAAAACTGGTGTCATGTGATTAAATTTTCTAGTTTTTGTTAAAATTGTAACTAGCATTGAACCATTTGGCCACATGTGGCAGGCCTCAAAACAAAATGGATTCTGGATGACATAAAGGCATGAATTAAGGTCTCTGCATGCAAGTTGCATTGATGAAAATTTTGTTAATTTATCAAATATCTATGTTGAGCCGGACCAATAAATAGCATCTTAGTTTTATCAGAATGTAGGAGTAGGAAATGTGCGACATCCATCTTTTCAAAGCAGACAAGCAGGCCTTTAATTTGATCATTTGAGAGGTATTGAGGTATTCCATATTTCACATCAAAAAATATTGATCATCTGCTACTATTTTAGAGGAGACATAAATAAAAATAGTTCACAAAACAAAAATAATTTGCTCAATAGTAATTTTCACTCTTTTTCTGTGTACTCTGATGTACAGTCACAAAAGATCATATCAAATTCTGACCAGAACCACTGAGATCACAAATGAGTAGCTTAAAGCTACTCCAGAAAGAAACTGGTCTAACATGACCAGACCCCCATATTTTTGGGGGTGTATCTAGTTTCATTGCACAGTATGTCAAATGGTAAGAGGACTGTCAGCATCGGCTGACATCAAAGAAGCTGATGCATAGTACTGTTACATCAGTCACTTTAACCTACTTCTTGAAAAAGGTTTCAGTCAAAGTGATTGATCTGGACAAAACTTGCTGAACTGCACTGATAGTGACATGCACTGACTACACAATCACAGCATGACATAAGCTTTATCAGCATAAAAATGTATTCTGATGTCAGATGCATATATACTTTATGAGACAAGCTACTGTGAATTTATAGATTCCATGTGCATGGTGTATTGTGCTGTTAAATAACCACAAAAACGCTGATGTATCAGAAATGTTGCATGTCTTATTACAGCGGCCAAAGTCCATACAGCAGTATTTCTCTCTGAGGGGAATATTGCTTGTGTTTGTTTGAGAGAGAACAGGCTTGACCAATGATCTGTCTTATCTACACAGAGATAATCCAGCCTGCAAAAAAAATGATTGTCATTTGCTCCGAAGAACCGTCAAGATGAAGACACAGTCGACCAGCCTTCGCTTTAAGTTACCTGTGTTTGTGTTTGTCATTGAGGTGGTTATTGTTATCCTGTATGCTGCCTTTGTCACTTATGATGAACACACTGATGCAAGATTTCAGACCAACCAAACTGACCCCATGGACAATGCAGTTTACAAGGACTACCCTTTTTTTACAGACATACAGGTCATGATATTTCTCGGCTTTGGATGCTTGCTGGCATTCTTCCGCCTGTATGGCTTTGGGGGGATGGTTTTTAACTTCCTCACGGCTACTTTTGCAATCCAATGGGCCATTCTGGTGCAGGGGTACTTCCAATTCAGCCATGACGGTAAGATACACCTTGGAGTGATCAACCTCATAAATGCAGAATTTGCCTGTGCTGTGGTGTTGATATCTTTTGGGGCAGTGCTGGGGAAGACCAGTCCGTTGCAGCTGCTGGTCATGGCTCTGCTGGAAGTGCCAATGTTTGCAGTCACAGAATGGGCCGTGCTGAAGTATCTGAGGATCAACGATGCAGGAGGATCTATTCTCATTCACCTCTTTGCCTGCTATTTTGGCTTGGGTGTCACCTTTGTGCTGTACAGGCCTCGTCTAAATGAAGGTCATGCAAAGGAGACCACCAGCTACCATTCTGACATCCTGTCCGTGATGGGGACCTTGTTCCTCTGGGTGTTCTGGCCCTCCTTCAACTCAGCATTAACACTGAAAGGAGACGACCAGCACAGAGCCATCCTCCACACCTTCATCGGCCTCAGTGCCTCCACGCTCACAGCCTTCGCTCTCTCTGCGATGCTGAACAAAAACGGTAAGCTCACCATGGCTGATGTTCAGAACGTCACCCTGGCTGGAGGTGTGACAGTAGGGGCATCTGTTGATATGATGATATCGCCTGCTGCTGCATACGCTCTGGGTATAATGGGCTGCACTGCATGTATGCTGGGCTATAAGTACTTGAGCCCCTTCTTAGCACGGCGCATGAGAATCCAGGATCAATGTGGAATACATAACCTACACGGTCTAACAGGACTCATATCCTGTACTGCAGGGATCTGTGCTATACTGATGGCTGACGAGGAGGTTTATGGCCCCAGTTTGTACGAAATCTTTACACATAGAGCACCAGTGGAAGGGGACCCTAAACTACAAGAGCTGCAGATGTTGATCCCCGGTTTACAGCCAGGTCTGGGGAGGACTGCCCGGGAACAGGCTCTCTTCCAGGTCGCAGCTGTGTTCTCCACCATAGGAGTGTCAGCACTGGGAGGCGTCCTCACAGGCTTCATCTTAAAGCTGCAATACCTCGCACCACCATCTGATGATTTCTGTTTCGACGATGAGCCATTTTTTGATGTTCCCCCAGACTATGATGCACCACTTAAACTCAATGACACAACTACCACTGAAGATTCTGTTGCCTGATATGCAACTGCCAAGTGCTGTCAATGAATCTGACTGAAGATGAGAATGTGTTTGTATTTGTCTTTATAAGTAATGGAATTTATCATTCATCAACAGTACGTTATAGTGACTATTAATCAAATGCTGATATCCATTACATTGTAAATAAGCACTAGTGATTATAGATGATAATGACGAGCAATGCAGTAACACTGTCCAACACTGTTTATTTATTGTCATACATGCAAGCATTAAAGGAAATTGAATGTTGTAGCTCTCTTGGCAAACAAGTCACAAGTTTGTGATGTGAAATAAACTCTTTTTAAGCTGTATGCATTTTTTCTATAGTAATTATGTCTATAATTCAAGTACAGAGGGAGATAATCAACCGCAGCTTCGAAGTTTCAACATTTAAATTTGAGAATAAGCCACATGAGATGAAGCATCTCACAAAAGAACTTCAATCAGTGCAATAACATAAAAACTCATACCGTACACAAACAGGGCTCAAATCTCTATTACAAGCAGTATCAGCATGAAACTGACTGAATAAAATGAATTAGCACTGGGAAATGAAACTTAGGCTACATACTACATACAATAATTGGTTCAATTTTAAGTTAAAAGCTAAGCTTGTCTCACAAATTGTTGATGTTTGGGGCTGAACTAAGCTTAAGGCTGTTTTGCATTTGAAAGAGTTAAAACAAATGCATTTAAAAACATGAAGCAACTAATGAAAATTTCTACCAGAGTTCAGTATTATATTAACCACTTAACTGTATCATACATGAAAGCGTGGTGCATGCAATAAAGACACCTCAAAACAAATTCACAAATATTATATGTAACAAATATACAATATTAACATAACATATTAATCTGGACATATTAAACAGGAAATAGAAACAGGGACGCAAATTCTTGATATTCATGGGATATGAATGCACAAGTTGACTTTTCTTTTGAAGAGTCACTAGATGGTGACACAGAGCCATGAAACACATTTAGGGTATTTGTTCCCTCAGTAGTGTTTCATAGGCAAACCAGGGGACGTTACATTATTTTACATATTTCCATGGTGTTGGTCTCATGCATGTTTTATCAGTGGTTGCTGCTGCGTTACTGTAGGCCAGTGGTAGGCAAATATTGGCCCATGGGTCAAATCCAGCCCCCTGACAAAAGATGATGTGTACCTATAATTTGCACCAAAAACATTACACGATTTTTCAACAAATCTGGTGTAGCTCACAATATAAATATAAATCCCACATTTAGAGGGGAAATCAGGCATTGCTTACAACTCATAGACATCTGACACATGACAAGTGGCTCTAAGTAGACACTGCTATTTTATAATGGGATACAAGCCAAAAAGGTTTGGAAACACTGTGTTAATCTTTGACAATGAGAAGGAAAATCTTCCTCATAAGTAGTAGATAGTGCAGCGAAAATACAGTATTTCTCTCTGTAGTGTGGTGGTATAAAAGTAGGCTATAAAGAAGCAAAAATGGGCCTACTTGAGTGAAATGCAAGGAATTGTACGTAAGCAGACTACTTGAGTAAATGTGGCATATAGTTTGCATGTGGGGGTGGAGCTGGTGAAGTGCTTCTTAGCTCCAGTAGGGGGCAGTGATGCGACACCAAATACCACAGCTGCCGTAAAAACCTCTCAGAAGAAGAAGACGACGAAGAAGAAGGAAGGAAGGAAAGAGCGTTTTGATACCAGGCCGCGACCTGCTACTGAAAAAAGGTTACATAACTTAGAAAATTTTAATTTCTTCTTAGCTTTGTGTGACCTGCCGAGACGGAGACGTCGAGAGGAGTCTCTTCAGCTGCACATTTTCTGCGATATTTTGACTTTGGCACGCCATTTCGTCAATTTCAAACGGTAACGTCGATGTTTGCTAATGCAGTTAGCTCGCTGCCGCCATATTGGCACTTCACTGACAACTTAGCGCCTGTTTTTCCAAAGTAAACATTATTTGTTTTACTGTAAACATTTTTGAGTAAGGATGGTTGCAGTCTTGTCGCACCGGTGTACGTGTTTATTGATATCTGTATTATCAATCAAGTGAAATGTGGGGCTTAAATAATAATAAGGGTCACTGAAATTAGCTAACGTTGAACCACGGATGTGGCTAGTTAGCATTTAGCTTCGTGTTAAGTGCAACGCATGTTTATCCTTTATGATAGCTCTTAACATTAAATATATGTTGGTCGTTGAACTCTTTTGAATCTGTAACCTTAAGATTGTTATATTAATTGGTTAATATCCAGTTAAATTTATCAAATACTATGTAAAAAATTGTGATATTGAGGGAAAGATGAAGGAAGTTAAGGCAAACTCCTTGAAGCACATTGTTACCATGTAATTTATTTTCAGATGATGTTCATCTAGATTAGAGCTGCAACAAAATACAAAATCTGAAGAGGTCAAATTGAACTCTGAGTAACTGGGATGGATATTATAGAGACATATAAACCAAATGAGTAATGAAGAAAATAATCTGCAGATTAATCAGTAATGATGATAACCGTTAGTCGAGGCTGTAATCTAGATTCCATTCACTGGATTTCAGACATAGGAGAAGTATCAGGGTGTAATCTTTATGCTATGTAGGACTGCAATTGATGATTATTATGAATTAATTTGTAGATTATTTACTGAGTCAATTGCTTAAACGTTTTGTCATCAAAGTTCCTCTTTTGCCTAACTAACAGTCTGAAGTATGTGTATGTGAAGAAAAAACAAAAAATGTTTCTATCACACAAGACTAAGAACATCAGCACCCCCTCACAAATGACAAGCTGTAACGTGGGGATGTTTGACTTTTTTTTGTTTTTACTTAATATGGCTTAAAGAACTAATTGATCAAAAATAGTTACCAAACATTTCTGTGTAGAAGGGAGGGAACCTCGTGACCAACTGCATCAAAACAAATTATCCAGTTTTTTGCTTTAATGTGATTATGCACAGTAATACAGTTTCTTGTGAGGTACTTATTGTTGCTTCCTTTTCACAGGATCATCATGGCTGATGATTTTGACGTTGAGGCCATGCTGGAGGCTCCATACAGAAAGGTGGGTTCAGGACTACAGAGATGAGGCCTGTTTCACTGTTATGATTTACTCTTGAGTCCTTTATATTTGCTACTGTGACAAAGTTTACTTGAATGTTGTGTGGTGTGTGATTGAGTATTTAAAACGCAATACAGAATTATAAATAAATCCACATCTATCTCTCTTTATAGACTTCCCTAATGATATCTCACCTCTACTCCCATGAATTCATCTTTGATTCCACTGTGAACTGTGAAAAAAAGGAAGGTAGTTATTGCGCATATACTGATGTACTGTGGTTCACCTTAGGACTAAAAGAGATTCAACCTAGAACATCCAATCCCTATTCGGTTGCAACAAGGTGAATGCCAATGGTTGATAAGCCCATCTTTACCTGTCCAGCAAAGGAGGCAGTATTCAGATTTACAGTCTGCATGCTGTTACTGTCTCTGGATGTGCAGGCAGATCTAAACCTTTGTTCTGAAATCGAAAAATACATGTCCTGCTTTGTGTGGCTTTGATAAGAATGGATCTCTCAAGCACCTTTTAAGTCATTCAACTTTCACCAAATTGCTCTTTCGCAAAAACCATTACGTGTGAAGTTGTAAAATAAGGAATTCTGAATCGTGTTTGTATCAAACTATAACTGTTGTCATTTCAAAAGTTGTAGTTTTATAACAAGATTGCAGTTGCACAGTTTGGCTGTGTAAACACATGACCCATTGCACAATTTTATGGCTAATTACAGGTGAATAATTTCCTATTTTTCGTAAATATGAATACTGCCTCTTTGCCATAGCCAACTGTAATGTGAATCAGCATCTTGATTTTGCATGCTACACAACACCACAGATATTGATATATTACTACAATGACTGTAAATAGATACTTCTATCTAGCATCATTGTATTATAAAGTAAGTTACTTTTCAGTAGTTCATAATTCCTTCTCAAGTCAAAAGGTTATGAGTATTACTTCATAATGCAAACTAAATAATGGTAGTGTAACACGTGGCTGAATTAATGGATTTTCTAATTTTTTTTTATTTTTTTTATTCATTTATTTTCTTGGGCGTCAATATTACTAAGAAGTGTGAATCCCTGTTTGCTTCAGGGCAAGATGTGTGACAGAGGTGGCATCGAGCTCTTACAGTCCAAGAACGAAAATGGGTGAAGATCACTGGACTGACACCAACTACACAGGATCTCTTTTAGTGGCTGTGGGCCATTCGTGGTCACATGATTAGGCACAAATAGTGGCATTGGTACGATCTATTAGAAGGGGAATGGTGGAGATGACCTGACAATTGTCAAAGCTTCCTGAACTCAGCTAATATGTTGGACTCCCTCCCTTATCTTTATCTTTGCTTTAAGTATTGTGCAGTCTTGTTAAAAAAAAAGAAAAATAAAAAAACAGGAGTGGGATGGGAAGCTATTGGGGTGGTGGAAGGACACTGTCCAGACATGACAGTAGAAAGTTTGAAGTATTATTATTATTAATTGAAAATATTTTGCATTTTCTCTTGTCCCACCCCACCCCCTTTACCTTGACGACTTGAAATGTTTCATCTACGTCCTCATGATGTTCTTCTATCAACCTTGCTTAGGATGAGATCAAGTCCTCTCATGCAAACGGACATGACGACCAGAACAAGAAGTAAGTTTTAAATTTCTCGCATTAGTTTTACTTCACTGAACCACGGGGACTCATCCATTTAATTTAAAACTGTTCACTTTGCACCACAATAGCAGTGCTGTAACATGTTTTTTTCTAGGAAAAGGAGGAGCCGAAGCAAGAGCCGGAGCCCAGGCTCTAGGAAAAGAAGAAGCAGAAGCAAAGACAAAAAGAAGGGTAAGAAGAGGAGCCGGAGCCGAGACAGAAAAAGAAGCCGCAGCAGAGAGCGTCATCGCAGCCGCTCCCGCAGCAAGGAACGATCTGGGCGATACAGAGCACGCAGGAGCCCCATGTATGTGACCTTGTTAACCTTAATGAGATATACAAATAGGCCACTTTGTTAGGTACAACATTATCCAATTCCCTACAACTATTCAGCCAAACATTCCACCTTCTTTAACTATATGTTTCTTCATGAGGTTGTAGTTTGCAGTGGTGTTGAACTGGACTGTTATTCTGAGAGGGGTTTGTA